CCCCCACTCACAAATCCACTTGGATTTCCACATTTCTGTGGTAATCAGCATGAATTATATATTTAAAAAAACAGCCACTAAATCTGCAAGAACGTAGTGTAATATTTATTCAGTGCAACTATTGTTTACACACTGCCGAGAACATCAATAAAGTCTTTTTTTCATTAACGCAGCATGTGAATAACAAAGATTTAATAGGGGAATCTTACAGAGGGATGACGACAGCTCTGTCGAAAGCACAGAGCGTGAGAATCGAGAAGGTATACGTAGCATGAAAACCGGCGGAATAATAAAACAATAATATAAAATATTTTCGTTTATTAGTGAAAATCGAATGTTTCATTGTTTTGGATTTTTCTAAAGTTCCAATGTACGTAACAAAATCATTGACATCTACAGAGGTAAGATCAAGATCATAGGCTGAATACTTTTCTTTAAATTTCTGCGCACATACGAAGTTAATAATATAATCACGAGTAGTGAGAATTGAGGGAGTGGGAACTTTAGAATACTCCAAAAGGGAATCAGAATACTTTCTACCAGAGTAATCAGCATCTGAGTAATGGTGGTTAGTAATTAAAGTCGTGGATAAACTATTTTCACCTGTTAATATAGCATCAAATTCCATTTGCGTTCGTTAACGTTTTAATAAAGATTTAATTTATAAAATAAAACTAATTTTTTCATTAATATAATTCATCGTACGCCTTTATTATGAGCTACTAACTTAGAAGTAATTATTTGCATAGTGAGAGCCAATTTGTTAACCTTTTGAATGTAGAATTACATTCACGACGAGGAAAATTACAAGTCACATGAAATAATTTATTACACTAAATATCTCACTGTACCTTATACAATCTTACGTAACCTTACTTACTTATCAACTCTCGTAAATTCTTTCTTTTAATAATTTAAAACCATATTTGATTTGCATTTTTAAACATTAAGTTACGTACACTTGACAAAATATGCATCGTGTGAGGTTTATTTTACAACTATAATGAACTTATCCTTCCGGCATTGTTCGTCAACCCTCTCTTAGAAAATACCCTTTTTTACATGTTTTACAAATATTTTATGGAGATTTTCATCACATCTTAGGAAGTATGCCACAAAAAGCCTATGAGGATGTTAAATTATGTACCTTCAATTGTCTCTGACATGTGATTGTGAGAATCTTATATTGGGTTGTGTGTAGATTTAAATAATCTACTTTCATGAAGAGAGTATCTTTAATTCTCCATTGTAGCAAGATTGAAGTCAATTCTCTGCAAACTGTCACTGCCAATATTACTACAAAATTAAAGATATTTCACAATTCAAAAGCTCTTTAATTTTTATAACAGTATTTGCCGCATATTTTACCGGTATATTACATCTTATATTCTCCAGTGTTTTTATCCAACGCGACCTCACGTTGTTGTTTTTTTTCAAACAATTGAAATCGCATTGATCCGGCATTACTCCATCCATTATCATTTTTAAGAAGCCCGATGCAACATCCTGACACCCTTTCAACACAGCTAGCCAATTTTAGCACTTCGCATGAAGATAACGAAACTTTCCTCGTTCAACGAGTTCCTCCGAGACGGCTCAGGGCATCAACCATTTACCATCTGCCGCAAGCATCTCTGACAGCAAGGTCCTAGGGTTCGAGTTCCGACGATGATGGCAGGATTTGTGAATTCACCCGCTACCTAGAGGAGAATTCTAGCGGCCGAATGCTTTGATCGAACGTTTTCCGTGGTTTGTTCTATAAGTACCAAGCAAATGCCGGAGTAGTACCCTAACAAACAGTCCATGAGCGACACGCGATCTTTGCTTCTTCTTCCTTGTCCTATCCTCTCCCCTTATACTAGCATGCACCACACTCCACACATGGCGGGAGACCGCTGGGGAGCTTAGAGCTCTTCCCGGCTGTGATGGTTAAGATCAACACCAGGCGAATGCCGGAGCAGTACTCTAACAAACGGGCCACGGGCCACGCGCGATCTTTCCTTCCTCTTCCTTGTCCTATCCTCTCCCCTTACACTAGCATGCACCACACTCCACACATGGCGTGAGACCGGTGGGGAGCTTAGAGCTCTTCCCGGCTGCGATGGTTAAGATCAACACCAGGCGAATGCCGGAGTAGTACTCAGCAAACAGTCCATGGGCGACACGCGATCTTTGCTTCTTCTCCCTTGTCCTATCCTCACCCCTTACTTACACACTTACACAAGACTAGCGTCGGAAGGTTAGAGCTTGTCCAAGGAGGTGCGGTTCCCCGTTGATGGATACTGCCTGGACGGGAAATCCTTGGTGGCTGATGTGTAGGTCGGTGGCGTATCTCACACTCCAGTAAGAAAAGAGCGCCTCCACCTCCCGCGCACTTGACGCGCTCCGGAAACACCATACACTCACTCTCCCTTCGATTTATTGATTTTTGCGAGAGCGACTACTGCTATGGTCATTATTCCCGTAAATGTAGCGTATGTTTCCTCTGGCCGTGAAATTTATTTTCCTTCGCTGGATAGTGAGATCTGGTTCCGACCTCGCATCAACTAGCAGGGTTTCCCCAACCAAGTCTCTCCCGTTAGTGGAACACCGCCCCAAGCGAGACAAGCTCTACGTACCCGACTAGTCTCCCGACATGTGTAGTAGTGCATAGCGCATGTAATTGTGTAAGTAAGGGATGAGGATTGGACAAAGAGGAGGACGAAAAGATCGCGCACTGTTCGTGACTCATTTGTTAGGCTACTGCACCGGTATTCGCGTGGTGTATATCGGATAAACCACGTAAAACTACCGATCTGTGCAGCTAACCGGTAGTATCTCCAGCTCCAGACAGTGACTTAACTCGACCTAGCTACGCAGTTAGTGTAGAAAATCCCGCCACAAATGCTTTATCGAACTCTAGGAACTCCCGGTCAGAGGCACTGCGGTGACGTCAATTGTTGTCCTGAGCCACCTTAGCCGGTCTCTCTTTTCTAGTTAATTATTGCCAAATAAACAGCGCGCGAGCGAATTAAAGGGAAACGGATCACCAGAGAACACGATTGTCCGCAAGGTGCAGTTCCATGTCTCTTCCGATGGGACCGGTTTTTCCTCTGCTTTTCCCTAATTTCCCCTGTCCTCTCCCACCTGCACACGGAACTGTTTTTTTACCGAACGTAGAAAGCAATAGGGTGCTCTGACTTTCTAACCAGCTTCCAGTGTTGTGCACGCACCGACGAGATAGCACTCTTACTTTCGATAAGGGGCAATCGACTGCAACCGGCGCAACGGGTGCGTGTAGCGGGTTACCTAATTTCAGGCGTTCGTGATTTCAGTAATGAATAGTAGAAAGTCTATAGAAGCTACATGCCAAATAAAAAAAACCTTTTGAGTGCTTCAGTTATATATCTATTAAGTCTTATATAATAATGGCGGCCAATATTTACGCTCACTGCATATAGATTTTTTAATTTAGGATGATGCGCAAAAATATTTACTCAACCGGTGTATTTTGCTAACAATCTTCACTGTATAAATCTGTTATAAATATGATAATTGCCTTACATTTTCACCTACATTACATTATATGATCCCAGGGAGTGCTGTACTGTACTGAGTAGACACTGTATGCGAGTTAATATTCGAATATTGCTAAGCGTTTATCAATAAACAGAAATACTTAAACGCTTCATTCAGAAGACTTAAGTCGGTAGTTTTAATATACATGCGAATGCTTAGATCGACTCTACGGTCTACAAGCAAGGTCTTAGACTCCATTCATTTGTACAGAATTTCAAGTAACCAATTTAATTTAAGAAAGTTTCAGACAGACTACGTTTCTGTGTGTTTTCATGAAGTTGCGATACTACGAGTAAGAAGAGCTGCAGTTCCTAAATAGAATAGAATATTCAATGAACATGGTCACAATTGTTAAGGGAGTACTACCTTAACCGACCTACCCGGGATTCAGAACATTTCAGAACATTACCCCGATCTACCAGGGATTCAGAACATTCTTCTATCGACGCCGTTTAAAACAATCGATTGCCCGTAAGTTATTCATGAATTGTGAATACCGATAACGTTATTCTCTGTAATATGTAGCACACAAAATCGTAACATAATTAATTATACCAAAAAGTATCCAAGATAACTATTTCGTGAACCAACATTTTGGTACATATCTAGACATTTTTGGCTATCCCGGATGAGCCGCGTCTCGGTCAATTGGGCTGACGTTTCGGCCATCTTGCTGTGGCCTTCTTCGTAGCTCTGAAGTAGGCCGCCAAACATCAGCAGAATTGACCGAGACGCGGCTCATCCCGGTTAGCCAAGAATGTATTGACTCCCGCCGCGGAAGCCTGTGAACGCAAATATCTAGACGTTCAATAATCGAATAATCTTCCGCTTCTGAGTAGCTACTTTTCTAATACTCATTTTTGTGCAATTATCAAATGTAATATTTTTTTAATCAATAGAAGCTTAATTATTCCTATCAATCGCTGGTACATATTCAGCCATAAACTTCCCCCCTAATCGACCCCTTTCATTGTTACTGATCTCCATCAAAATTTAATTGACCTAGTTGGAAAACAATGCTTTATTCAGAAACGACAGCACGATTAAACTGTCTCTCCGCAGCGACTTTTTCACTTCACCCGCTTTTGGATGCTCATGTTTGGATGCTCATTCACCACTTCACCCGATTATGTCTCTATACTTGGGTTTTTATAACTTGGCGGATGAGTGTCTGACTTCACGATCTCACGGCATTTCACGTCTTTCTCGGATGTACCGCTAGATGCCATATGATCGCCGGTACTGATCGATAGGTCACGATCATGCGACATATCTTGTCCAATACACCATTCATATTTTTACTTTACTTTAATCGTGAAAAATATTTACCATATGTGACGTATAGGGGAGAATTGTTTCGTTTTAACATCGTTGGCTTCATTTAGGAGCCAGAGATGCTATTCATATTTTCGGAGAGTTCATGATGTGTGTCGCGTCCCCAGGTTCTGGGCGCTGTGGCGCTGCTAGCGACGGTGGCGCTGGCGGCGGAGACGACGTCGACGACGCAGAAGGGCGCAGGTGGCGCGACGGAGAGCGGCGGCGGCGACAAGGAGAAGCGCACGGCGACTGGCGCGCGCCTGGCGTTGACACCCGGCATCAAGTACGCATCCGGCGCGGGCCCTCAATTGCCCGCACAGCACTACGCCCAGCAGCAGCAACAGCAGCAACAACAACAACAGCTGCAACAACAACTACAGCAGCAGCAGTACTTCCAGCCGCAGCGAACAGAGGTAGGTCCCCTTTTTATTACTTCTTTAAATAAATAAATATAATTAATTAATTAAAAATGATATAATTTAACTATATTCAGTTAAAATTTAATTATATAATAATTTAATTAATTTAACAGATGTAAGAGCGTAGGCTTCCGCGGAGTTAGTATTTACTAGGCTATTCGGGTGACGCAGCGTCCATGGCGAAGGTGCCGACGTTTCGGTCGCCATTCTGCGACCTTCTCAGGGCGTAATTACGCTCGGATTAATTACCGGCGTAATAACCCGGACAGCCTAGTAAATATTAACAGATGTATGCCGAAATTCAGGCCATCCAGTTTGCTCTTCCAAGTGACCACGTCCAAAAACGCAATAGAAATAAATAACAAAAACTGTAATTGAAGGAAAATCATCTCTTTCTTCGTCTTCTATTTTTATCATGTTTCTTCCTATTCTCACTCTTCTTCTAATTTCTCTTTCATATTTTGTCTTTCTTACTGTTTCGTCTTTCTTTTTATTTCGTATTTTTTTTCTTATTCACAAAATGTATAAGTGAATTACCAAAATAACGAATAATGTGTAGAATGACAACCCAGCTGTCATGACGAATGTAATTTCAAGTCACGTAATATTAATCGAATCACTTACGCGATAGGTTGTAACATAGAACCTATATACACATCAAGAAAAAATATAACCTTCATTTATTCTTTGCGCAGTCACATAAAAACAAGAAAAATTGAGTAAAGAATGTTATAGTACTGTTCAACTATCTCTATGGTACTTTTCATTAGATTACAATGTAGGATGAAGTGTCTCTTGAAAGACAAAAAAATATAATACTATAAACTTAAAACATCGATACAATTTGTCAGAAAACGGCGATTTTTTTAAAGTTGAAGTATGGAGTTTGCGTATTTGTTCTTTATTAGCCATCTAGCATATTACTAAATTATTTAACATTATTTTGTTATTATTAATATTATTATACTTTACTCTTTAATCGTACAAAGCTACGCCATGACGTCTCCTGTAGGCATGAATTATTAATATTCATTATTATTATTATTATTATTATTATTATTATTATTATTATTATTATTATTATTATTATTATTTGTGCTTTTCATTTGTCTGCGCAGTTCTACCAACAGCAGGCGACTCCAGCGCAGCAGGGCTACTACCTGCAGCAGAGCTTCCAGCCGCAGTACAACCTGCACTACGCGCAGCAACAGGCGCAGCTGCAGCAACAACAACAACAGCAGCAACAGCAGCAGCAACAACAACAGCAACAGGCGCAAGCGCAGCGCTACCAGTTCGTGCCGCGCGCGCAGAGCGTCGCCACGAGCGCAGCGGCTGCGGCGGCGGCGGGAGGCGCTCAGCACGTGCAGTACCTGCAGCCCGCCCCGGCCGCCGCCCCCGCCACCGCTCCCGCCGCGGTGCAGTTCCTGGCGCCGCAGCAGCTGCAGTACGTGCAGCCGCAGCCGCACTACATCCAGGCCGCGCCCACCGCCCCGCAAGGTACCTTCCGGCGCTCGAGCAGGGGAATCCCCGATGTACAGGATGTCTCAGAATAATTGCGGTTACAGACTTCTAGGGAGAGGGGTCGGAGAACGCTACACGGAATGTCTCAGAATGTTGTAATTACAAACTTATGGGAAAAAGGTGTCGAGGAACTGTATACAGGTGTCTCAGAATAATTGTAGTTACAAACTTCTTGAGAAAAGGGGTCGAAAAACTCTATACAGTTGTCTCAGAATAATTTTAGTTATAAACTTCTATAGAACGGGGTCGAAGGACTTGTTAATTCTCCCTACATGCAGATGTTTCAGAATAAATATATCAAACACACAGATTATATTGAGAGATGGAAGATTACATTTATCACAACTATGTCGCAGAATACGTTTCATACGTGTAGGGCATGTGGGAGGATCGAAGAACCTGTCAATCTCTACACGCAGTATGACTGATTTAATATTACAAACTTCTAAAGAGTAAAGACAGGGAGTCAAAGATGTTCACTTTTTGCCAAAAAAACATGTGGTAATAATTTTCATGTACAAATTTTTATGTATGGTAATTTTCCCAGATTGCTAGCCAATTCTTCGTGCATGGAAGGGACCCTTTCTGGCACTGTCAAAGAGATTTTGTGAACCTGCAAATGCCTGTACAAGTCTAGCTATCTACGAATCATTAGTAAATGTCACATACGTAACTTTGTTATGTTATATTACCCATGAATTATTAATTGTCAATAATTGTTCCCCATCGAACTCCTCATGCCCTAGAACAGGGTTGCCCAACTGGCAGCCAGCGATGCCATTTATTGTGGCCCGCGAAAGGTTATTAGTCAAAAAAGAAAGTCGCTTTCATGCATGTTGGGCGAGAATATTGCACCTAGCATTTTCGCCCTGCCAAGGTCAACACTCTAGTTTTAAAATAGGTTAAATGTAGATTTAATAATTTTCCCCAGTAAATTTTGAAATTCAAAATTCTAATGTGTTGCTCTGCGTTATGCATGGTACGGTCTGATATCCCGTATGGTTCATTCCCCCTCCACCTTTAGAGCAGCCAGGCGATCTGCTGGTGTTAACAATTTGGGGAAGTCAGGTGTGGATAGCGTAAGTAATGAAAATATAGCCCGCAACCAAGGTTTTAGTTGTGGCCCTCTAGGCCTTGCAAGTTAGACTTCCTTGTCCGAGAAGATACTAACATTTATCCAAACCTATTCCAACCTTTCCTTGAACGCGACACAGCCTCCGTGTGTGGCTCCGGCCGCGGAAGGCTGACAAGTGGGTGCTCTGTGTCCGCAGCGTACACCACCGGCTACTTGGTGCCGGGCCCCAACGGCCAGCCGGTGATCATGGTGCCCGTGCCGTCCGGCCCCGCCCCCGCCGCCTACGCCGCCGCCGCCGCCGACCCGCAGGCCACCGCCCACCAGCTGGTGTACTACCAGGTACGTTCCGGTCATTAGCTGAGGTCGAGTCTGGCACACTCTTAAAGCCGCGGAAAAAATCTCGCAAACAGGAACTTCACAATAAACGTCGACGGGAAGAGGAACGCTCTATGAACCAGTGACGGCAAAACAAAACTTCAAATGGTGCCGAAACCGGTGCATTTCTATCTACGCCTCTGTTTACTCTATAATTTGCCTTTTGAGAATGAAAACCAATGCAAAAACTACTATGAAATTACGAAAAATACAATTATCTAAAATTTCAGCAAAAAAATAAATAACTCCTATGTTCTTTAACGAAATACATAAAACAAATTATGGGGGGAATTTTAATTCTAAGTATTAATATGAATAGAAAAATAATTAAACTTTAATTATTAAAAAGAACTAAAACACCTCAACAATGACTAATGTGCACTAATGTCCAACAGGACCGTTTTAACACCATTGGGGGCCCTGGGGCCTGGATTAATATGAGGGCCCCCTATTCTCACGTTCACCGATCTCCCCTCCCCCCGCATATTTCAAATCTGAAATATAAATAAAATCCTATCAAGTTTAATTTTTTTTATATAATTTTTTAATGTTTCAATTTAACAGTATCCAATGTTGGAAAATTCATGCACATAATGGATTTTAATTATTAAAAATAATTACTCAAAACTTTAATCAAAATATTTGAAAACGTGTTTTGTTTTTAAAAAAATAAACTTCTCTCATCAACCAGCGACATTCCATATTATAAATATTATCTAATGATGCGCGACACCACTCCGCTACGCCAATTTTTTGCGTATAGTATACTCACGCATCCCTTTTTTGTATGTTATTTATTTTTTTTTTAAATTTAGTATTTAATATTTTTTTAAATATCGGAAGCCTTTGAAAAATTCGGGGACGTCGGCCCGCGACTTTTGCACCCGTGCATTCACACGGCACTGAACTGCAAACTATAATTACTAATAATGCACGCCATTTTCATGTCACTCATTCAACTGTTCTGTTACCTCCTCTAGGCTCCCGTGGCGCCCGCCGCCGCCCCCGGCGCGCATGCGTACTTCCTGCCCGCGCAGCACCCCTCCGCCCCCGCCGCCGCCGCCGCCGGCCCGGTCGTCTACACGCAAGCCCCAGCCTACTACCACCAACAGCAGGTACGTCACACCACAAGCGACTTCGGCCGAAATGAAGCTACTCGTTCATGCGCAACTATACAGAATGACCGAGGAGGAAACGTCTAAACTTTACAAATAAGCTCTCAAGACAAGTTTAAGTATATATTGTCTAATAAAGTACTGTGATATTCCGAATTGTTGAGCCGCAATTAGCACTCGAAAGTTGGTTTGAGAAAATTCTTTCTAGGAAAATATTTGCATTGCAGAAGCATAAAAACACTCTAAAAACATGAAAGTTGTTTATTATTTACAAAATAAATTAATATATTTGCTCAGAAAAAAAAATTAACTGAAATAGAAAAGCATCCAATTTACACAATTCGACTGCTTTTTTTATTTCTGATTTTCTTTCTGAACAAATGTATTCATTTCTTTTTTAAATAATTAACAACTTACATGTTTCCAGTGTATTTCTACACTTCTAAAATGCAAATTTTTGCCTAGAAAGCGTTTTTTGAAACCAATTTTTGAGGGTTTAGAACGGCTTAGCTATTCAGAATATCCAAGTGATTTATTATAACCAATTATGCTTAAAATTGTCTTAAGAGCTTTTTTTCGAAGTTTTGACGTTTCCTCCCCGGACACCTATATATGGAGAAAACAACTTGTGAAGCAAAGAGAAGTCAAGAAAATGAAAGGAGGCTTTTCTGAAAAATATTATGAAAATATATACTACACCATATTATTTTGAAGGTGTGTTCGCATAAAATGCTTTGGTACTTATACGTTGGATAGACTCAAGAAACTTTTATGTTAACACAAGGGCCGAAGGCCCGAACCTTAGAACTGCTTATACTGGGTTGGAACTGTGTGGCGAAGCGTCACTTTTCGCGTACACTGAGAACAAGAGAGCTGACAAAAACTGTTTCAAACACGCCCATTTATTAGTGGTCTCTGATTGAAAGATTAAGGGTTTCTGATTAACAAAGAAATTTCTTGTATTTGTATTGCTGTATTATTTATTATTTTGTATTATTATTATTATTATTATTATTATTATTATTATTATTATTATTATTATTATTGTCCATAATTTTATTACTTTTCTGGCACTGCAATAATCGCACATTTCAAAAGTTAAAGTTAGTGTAATATAACATAATATATCAAGCATAATAATAGCATCGGTAAATGGAATGAAATGCATGTTAGGTAAGTATATCTCGATCAAGTTATCATCAATTTTCCTTTCATTCACAAGCAAATACTGAAATGTCCCTTTCTTCAGAATGTAAAAACGTTAAAATTTTGCTCATATCAATCTCGAATTCGGGCACACTGATACTTATTTAACTAAATGAATACGCTTCAAAAATCACAATTGTTCACATTATTATATTTTGTTTTTTAACCATGTTAAAAAACAATATATCGGAATACAAAATCAGGTTGTATTATGTTCAAAAATGTTTATGCTTACATGTTGTTTTGCCCACAAAGTACGACTAATACATTTGGTTTTTTATATATACTATTTAGAAAATAATTCATATGATAAATTATTTACATCATTTCATTGAGAAACTATTGGAAAAGAAATTCATATTTATGTATAATATGTTGTTGTTGTTTAAGAAACACGCCAATGTAACTTGACAAACATTGAACAGCGAATCAGAAGCGTCGAGCTTTGCACATAGTTGTCACCTAAAACTAGGAAACAAATGTTACGAGCAAACAAATGTTACGAACAAACTCGTTATGAGTTTCTCAACGTTCCATTCTTCTGTTTGCCTAGTTTGTGTTGAGGGCACGTAGAAGAGCAAGCACATTGTGGCAACGCAACCATCGCCCTCCACACGTTAATGTCTACTAACATTATAAGTTTATTCCTACTATAGACCCATCCTCGACTTCACTACATTATGGAAGTTTCCTTGCTCCAATGACGGTTGCCTGTTTCTGTCGCAGACGCACCCAGCGCCGGCGCAGTCGCACCAGACGTTGCGACACGCAGACCGGGCCACGGCGCAACCCACTCGCGCGCCGCAGACCAAGGCTTGAAGCACGCGCGGTAAGTAGGCGAAGGCAATGCGTCCACGCGGGTGCAGCTCGAACTAAGTCTCGCCGATAACAGAGCGCTCTGCCGGAGTAAATTATTGACGTGAGAAATTGCCAGTGCCACCTGGCGGAGAGAGCTTTTATTCCTGGGAAAGGATGACAATCGTTTCGCGAAATTGGCTGAAATTATGTGAAAATAAAATGTTGTAAGGTAGAATTTCATAAGATAGACATCAGGCTCTCATTGAAATATTTTTTTTCATTTATTCTTAAATAATTATTTTGTCTAATTAAAATATTGTATATATTCGTTTTCATCAACGCAATTTATACAGTATGTAGTATTATTTTAATGTTGGTTATCTTAATGTCTTAATTATTCTTCGTAAGTCCAGATAACATTACTATTTGCAATTGATTTAGCTTTTTCAATAGATATTCATTTCTATACATTCCTGCCATTTTACTCATAATATTTACCTATCAGTCTTTATTTTATATTATATACTAAATAGGATTTTCTTTTCAGGACTCTCCCATAAACATGTGACAAGAGATGCATGTCTTCAATCATGTGACCATGACTTCATTTCATCATCATCATCTTTACATTGTTTTGTATATACATTTTGCGATCGTATGTTTAAACTGTATGAATGAATAAAATGTCGTTTTTTCTACTCTTGTGTAAATTATTTACCAACTAATGGTTCCAGTGCGAATTATTCTCACAGAGTTCAATTTATTTGTAATATCATTGAGCACTGAATGACAAATTTCCTTATTTCCCCATATTGTTCTTTCCCTTCCAAGAACAGAAAGAGAAAAGTTGTAATTCGCTGAGTGATTACGTTAGTTCCGCAACTGTGCTGTAGGTTGTTGGGAGATTTGCCAACTCATTTTTTGCGCTTCTCGTCAAATTCTTGCACAAAAAAGGTTATTTATAAATAACTCATTGGAACGGTGAAATGGCAGGAACATTTATGAAAATGGCAGGAATAGTGTATTGTGAGATGTCAAACTCCTTTATCATATACGTCCATTCGCTATTTATTACAATTCATTGGCTGCTCGTTAGGTGAAGTAAGTAAAATGCCACTTCACCAATAAATTAGCATATAAATGTGGCAAATTATTTGCTTTGTAGCGCTTGCCTTCCGACGGTTTGGAAAGTCGCGTCCAGATCCACTGGACTGAAATCACATCACGTCACTTTGCCTTTTTTGCGTGTGTTCGGTTATAGGCAAACCTCACTTTGACAACACCTTTGCAAGGAACAACTCCCGCGATGGACAAATGCTCCCCCGTCCACCTTTCACATTGGCTCAAGGTATCTTCATTCCTTCAACCACACTGTTCAGCGCGTTCGTTTCAAGTCCGCAACTCACTTCCGACCATACCTTATTGTTTTATTTGCATTGCTAGGTTGTCAAGTCCTTTCACTTCCACTGTCCACTCAACGCATCCTCTATAATTTCCGCGGCCGGAATCAGTAGCTGCTCCTGGTCAACCAAAGCAACTACTGTTTGTTCCGTGCGCATATTTGCATAGGCGAGAGATGCGATTTTTCTTCAGGAGAAAGATTGTGCATTTGCATTGAATTACGATTTCCACTTACGAGTCGTCCGTAAATCACGTAACGCTAAAGAGGGAGGAGGGGGTTTGAGGCAGCGTTACGCTGCGTTACATACGGGAGGGGGGTATGCAATTAGTGACACGTAACATTGATTTTTTTTTAACATTTGTTAAAATACTTCCTTTTTACTTTCTCACTACGTAGTAGAGAGAAAGTTAAATAATGCTGCGCGAGAAAACAGGGCATATCCGGCAGAAAAACTCATATTACAGAGCCCTGTAACGAAAAAGTGGATAAATGCAGTTGCTAAATTTAGAAAAAACATCCCACATTACGTGATGTAACCAGAATCCATGTTTCGTGGACCCGAAAAATCGAATGACAGCTAAACGTTTGTCCGTCTGTGAACATTGCTAGTAGTTAAACCGTTCAGCCGATTTTCTCCAAAAATGATATTCCCCAATCGATCTAGCTTATGTTGCGGTCCCCTGAATTCGAATGCGATGTTTTTATTTTGGTACTTTACATGAATCCCTTTTTTTTAATTTCTCCAACGATTTTGATTAAATCTTGTTGGTGGATAATATGGAAGATATTCAAGAGAATGGTACAGGTATCATGTTCGTTGAAAACCATGACTTTTCGAAATTTGCAAAAGTTCAAAAGAGTCTTCATTCAACTAAAATATTATAGATCTTTTTCTTAATGAAATATGTTCTTTAACGATAGATTTTGAAATAAGTTCATGACAATTTTTCTTATACTAAAACATTAAAATATTATCTAATTAATTTGTTTGAAAACATACATAATTTAAAATTAATAGAAATTGTTACAATAAATTTGAATATTTTTCCATTAATTTTGTACTGAATCTGTAAGATTACGAAGAAAATATTCAAAACTGATGTGTAGTTTTTTGTAGAATAGAATTAAATTGGCACAGTAGACTCTCGCCCATGCGCCATCCACAACAGTGGCGGGTGCATGGCTTGTGACCTAAAATTTGCCCCAAATCTTAGTATTAAGTGCAGTCAGCTTCGACAACTAACTCCGAATGGAATTATCATAAATTTTAATTCACAGCGCAAATAAAATGAATGCAATTTTTTACTCAGCTTTAATTTATTTTCAATTCTTGCATTTTCAAGGAGGGAGGTTGTGACAAGCGTTACGTCTAGCGCGCGTCACGGGTGCGTTACAGGTGGGAGAGGGTATTTAAAATACTCCAAATCTGCGTTCCGTAATTTACGTACGGCCCCTTATGAGCGATGTAATGCTTTTCTCCACGGTTAATTATTTCTACCTTCTCGTATTTACTTTGTACAAATAAATGATGCTGGAAAAGGGGCCAATTTTTTCGACAGAGAATCACGACTTGTGGGCCTCCGAAAAGGTGTATTCTAACACATATTGCACTCTCATATGCATTAAATTACTCTCTCAAAAACGTGCTGTAGAGTGGCTCCTATATACCGAAAAGGTTGTTATTCCCTGTCTGACTTTCCGTTCCACTTGCGATTTGATTGAATGCCAGCAATTGATTCACTAGTAATCCGGGCACTTCATTAGCCTCGTAAGAGTAGTGCATGTTTCACGCAGGAGGTGACTGTGGTCTTTCTCGCTGGATGGGGGCAACCTTGGTCGGCTTGCGGGGATTTTCCGCAAACATATATCTCCCACCAGCGGGGTGCCAACAATTTCCATGTAATTTTGAGTAAGATCGTGACCCTTTTTTTAAAAAAAAAATAAAGCAGACAAGATTTTATTAGAAACTGTTCCATATTTCTCCGTGAAATTGTTTGCTCGAGTAGAGTAAAGATTGCTTAATAATAAGGTATAAGTCTGCTTTTCATTAAAACATCTGGAATGTCGATAAGAACTTACGTTAAACGTTTGAAGTCTGTCGTGCTGTTTCAGTAATAAAGCTAGGTATTTCCTTTTTAATGGTCTCCTATATTATTTCGGTAGTATACATACGTTATGCGTGTCTCACACGCAGCTGATCATTATAAATGAGGTCTTTAAAGATGAGATATTCACGTAGACGTGACGAATTTCACTTTGACTTTAAAAATATGACATTTGTTTAAAAACGCATATAAATATTCATATCAAATGCAACCTGCAGTACTCAGTGAGATTTATCGTTAAATAACTTCTAAACAAAGCATTCTAGGGACTTAAAAACTAAAATTTTCAGGCCAGCGGTCTCAAAGAAGCGTTTATCACGCCGTGATGTACAGAAGGAGATTTTCTTGGACATTCTATGAAATTTTTGCTGGTTTGGCACTTATCGATATTACCAATGCCATCTAGATTTCGACGTTTTGCTGTGGTCTAAAAGTACTGTGTACCTAATTGTGGAAGGATGTGGGTGTACAGTGAAGAGTGAAGACGTGTCTTGTTAGGTTTGTTTTGCGTTTTACCTATATCAGAATTTTTGTTATCAACAGCGATTGGGTTAAACTTTCAAATTAACGTGTTCAGTCATGTAACTTTCTCAAGATTAAAAAGCTTTTTTAAATATTTTAATATTTAAAATGGATATCGCAAAAAACTAATTTTCAAAGAATACTGAATAATTACTTCAGATAATTTTAAGGGAGTGTTAGGAAATTTTCTAAGAAATGTTTCGATAATACCGAATAAATCTTTGGTGAAAATTTCTTTTCCACATCCATTGCATTGTTTTCTGTTTTTATTAAATATTGTGTTAGTACAATGGAAGTTACCCTTATACGTTTTTAAACAAATAAATACGTTTCGTTAACAACTTTGCCGCTTAGAATGGAAATAGACGAATAAGGAGTGTGGGGTGTAATATGCGAGAGTTCTCGCAGAGGTACGCGGAGGTAGTAGGGGAAAACTTGTGCTATGGCACAATACAAAGAACGATCTTTTTAAATTAAAATAGCTTGAAATAAATGAACATCAAAAATCAAAACGCGCTTGACTGCAACACTACATGAATTAATTTAAAAAAGCAACGAAATTTAAAATTATAGAAATAATAGGGCAAGTCATTTGACAACCGCCAACGATCACAATCCAGACGCACGATTGAAATGTTGGCGGCATCTGGATGTCTGTACATCAATACCCTGTTGTAAACTCATAAATTGTAAGTCATACACTGTTTGGTATTAAACTTAAGGTATCGGTTCGCTAAGAAATTCAATACGTGAACATCGTTTGAGCAACATTGCCATGTACCGAAGTAATGTCTAAGGGTACAGCATTGTTTCTAATGGTAACAAATGGTATTTATTTCTCAAAGGTGAAAACACTAGTTTATTATTTTTTGCCCCGGAATTGCGTATCTTTAACTTCACAGAAAAATCAAATATTTTTTAGTGTACAAACAATTTTCTCCCAGCAACAAGCCGGCGACCTGCCCCTCCAAAACCCCCTTTATTCCTCATAACAAATCCAGGGAAGGGTTGTACTTGCACGAATTTGTATTTTCGAATGGAAAACTTTACTTGGCTTTCTCAAAAGTAAAAATCTCTTCTAATAGTTTTGTGTCTATCAAGGAAAGCGTAAAGCTAACTGTCAACTAACTTCAAATGTTCTTAAGGAAGAGCATTCCGAAGAACATACATCTCTGTATAATTAATTCCAACGTCAATTGCATTGTTTTTATTTTTATTTGATATTGTGTAAATACCAAGTTACATTTATACATTTTTAACAAATAAACACGTTTCATTAACAACTTTCCTTCTAAATGGAAAGGACAGGGAAATGAATAAGGAAAGGGTGGGGATTAACATGCGGGAGTTCTCGCAAGGATACGCTAGTATTATATATTTCTCAATATTATTTCTTTAAATCATTGGAAGTACATTATTTTCGAAATATTAGTATTTTTCGTGTAGTATTGAGTTATACTGTTTTTGACTGTAGTACTGAGTTTTTCAAGTGGTGACCGAACGTTTGTTGATTAGAAGTTAATGTTTTAATATTACGCAACTGATACCAATTCATTACCCGTTCGAGAAAAAAATATGGTGTTTTAGCCTCACTGTAGGTTGAGAACCTCTCAGCAACTACGACTCTGTTCCTATAGTCGATGCAACCACAAGGACCGTGGGTGCTGTAGTCGCCACTCATTCAAATTGCCGCGAAACCTCGGTGCTGCTATCTGCTTGTGACACACCTGTTACATACCGTAATAAAAAATAGTAATAAACGTCATTTATGTTTACTTCTTAATTTATCTTATATCGAGAAATAAACATATCAAGCTCAAAAAAAGACCAAATTTTTCTTCTTGTTATATTTTGAGACATGTTGAAGAAAGGAATCGATACTAATAAATATAGCACGAAATTCATGTAATGTTAGAAAAATCTAGATGGTTATATTAATTGTATTGTATTTACTTCCACATTTTCGAAATAAAAATATTACAACGATTGGACTTTAGGATGACATAAGCAGTATTGTTTTTCTTTCGTTTTTGCTCGCTCACCATCGTGATCCCACCACTCTCATGTCATATAGTAAAGGTTGGCTGCAGGTTGGCTGCACGTCGACTGCACGTCGTTTGTTGGGGGAGGGAGCAGTGTTAAGTTGGAAAGATTGGAGGCGGAGCAGGCGTGAACTTGTTGCCGATTGACATTAGTTGAATATTTTAATTTTATTATTTTTGTCAAGCCTCTTCCTGTTTTCTCTGTGTAATTGAAGCATTCTACGTCGTCTCATTCTATTGGAAAGAAAAACAGGAAAATAGTGGCAGAATATTCAGTGAATAGTGAAATCGTGCTCTTCGACATGGCTGCGTTTGCAAATCGAAAACGTAAGATAAACGTTCGTTCCAGCAGTTCATGTAGCAGCGATATATCAACTGAAAATGGCATAGAAACGGATTATATATCAGAGAATTCAAACAGCGATATGGAAACTTTGAATAAATGTGATAATGCAGGGAAAAGAAGCTTATTTGACACGGAAGGCAATTCTAGATTTTCTCAGTGTAATGTCGTGAAAAAAGAATTCATTTTAAATGTAGAGAACCTAAAACAAAGATATAATGGAGATGAAATGGAATCATATTCAATGCCCCGAAAGCGGGCGAAATGCCTTTCCAAAAACGCTTTAATGGCTCGTGCAAATCGCATCAAGAAAAAACAATATTTGGAGGATCTAGAGAAGAAACTTGAAGAATTAACCGAAGAAAATGAAAAACTAAAAGAACAGGTTAAAATAAATGATGAGATTGCTCTAAAGCAAAGTGAAGAAATAAAGTATTTAAAAGGTGTTCTTGCTAATACCCCTGAAATAAGTAGGCTGCTGAAGTGTGTAAGGCAGAAATCAAGTCTTCCTGTGACATCCTCAATTAATAAATTTGTTGACACACGTACATCCAAAGAACTGTCATTTGACTCTGGTGAGTTTATTTCTGAAGATGTTTTGTCTCAGCAGTGTTACAACTTTGAGCCAGATGTTTTTAGTAATGTTCTTTCAGATTTTTCAGATGACCCTCTTTTAACAAGTTGCGACTTGGATGCCTTCAAAGAATTACCAGATACAGACCTTTTGATGCAGGACCTTTCTGATAAGACTTTAGATGTATTGGAGGGAAGTTCATCTGCTGATGTTGGCATATGCTTGCATGTTGCTCAACAGAGGGTCTCATTAGAATTTTGTCCTACATGCAGTATTAATGCTACAGCAGCATGGCAAGAAAGTACTGGCTGAACATCAAAGCTGCAGGAACTTGTTTGCACTTTCTTGGATTGTATTAGTATGAAGAGTACTTGTACCTACAGTGTTGTGTGTGAAACTTGGTCGGTATCTAAAATGTGTATGAAACACTTTTGTGAGCAATTGCCAAAGGCAATTTAAATGTAGGGATTATTTTGGAATTTCTGCAGCATTTTGAATAATTTTGTCATTTGTTATTTTTGAAATTGGTATTATGCCCCGGTTGTTATTTTTCAGGTGACTTGGGATTGGAAGGATTGCAGATTCCTCCTTCCAAAACAAGACATTATAAGGTGCGGTATTTTCTTCACCTAAGTCTTACTTAGTGTATCCTGTTTTTCAGGATTTCATTATTTAATCTGTAGAAGTGGAAAAGCTGTCAATGACTTAACAGTGGAACTTTAAGTGTTCAGTGTTATTGATTTTCTTTTTTTTTTTTTTATTTAAGAATTACTAAATGTAACACTATATTTTTGTGAAAGACAGTGATAAACTTACAAATATTGAACCAAGTAGGCCAATGTTATGTCCATTTTACCATTTTGTGTAGATACCTTTCATGTGGATGGGGATGTAAATATATTAGTTGCAAAAAAATATATGATGTTTTAAGTTACTGCAAATAATAGCAGTATTTTGCATATATTTCTATACAGTCCTGATATATTTAAATTCAGTATTTCACTTTCTGGTAACTACTAAAAACATCATTGAAGCTTTGCTATAATAAATTCTGTATTTAATTCTACTCCTATTGATGAAAAAAAATAGCTAAAGGATATCTAATATACTCTTTGTTTCTCTAATGACATTACATAAGTTGAAAATGTAAATGTAATGGTGAGTTTTAGTTCTAAAAACCATTTGAAAACTAAATGGATACTGAGAAATGTAAAAAGACCACTGACCATCATCATTGATGGTTGCTTTAGCCTTGTTTCGTTGATAGGAGTGGGTTTCAAATAAATTCTTTGAGGATTTTGTAAACAAATGTAAAGCAAAGCTTCACTGTGTTTCAGAAATATTCTGAACAATTTACTTTTGCTTTGCAGTCTTGCTGTGTTCGCCTGCACGGTGTCTCGCCTTAAGCAGTGGTAGAGTATTGAAAAGTGTCAAATGGTCGGTTCATTTTCCTTTCAATTTCAACTTCATTTCCCCACTAATGTCACTATCTTATTTTATTATTTTTCTAAACAATAATATTGTAATCTATTTTGTTAATATTCCCTATTAGAATAGCATGCTAAACAATTTGTCAAATTGGATTTTGTGTACTGAACAAGGCAATTTTACTTTTCAGCGGACGTCGGTGAGTCAGTTGGAGGGAGATGGTAGGTTTAAGCACCCGGAACTGGGTTGCAAGGTGAGATTGGGTCGGCAATTATGTTTTGGATGTGATTCACGTAATCTTGAGTTATAGGTGGATTGATCTGGATCCGGCGTTTTTAGCGAAAGGGAACCGAAGATAGTTGTGTTAATTTTATTGTATTATACTTATAAACAGATTGTTAAAATAAAATGATTTTGTTAACAATGACTTTTTATTTCTAACCCATCCTTGACCTACAGCGTAATAGTAAACATTTTCTGAAGTCTCGTTGGAAATCTGTAACTTATCTAATATGGCGGTCAGCATAGTGGCCAACGTAACTTCGACGTTAGTCATAAATGGAATTAGTTGGTGTAGTGTTTAAGTTTCGGTGTATTTTGAGCGATGAATGTCGTTGAGGCATTAGCTGTATAAATATGTATGTGGAATATTATTCATATTAGTCTAATGGAAGATGCCGGTTAGTTGTGGGGAGGGGGTTTGTTGTGACAAGTCATGAACTTGGTTTGGCGTGCGTGCTTCGCGAATAATGCAGTAACGTGATACGATATTCCGTATGAAAATTAAACTGAATACATTTCTTTGAGTTCTGATTTGTTCGGTATTGAACCAGTATACTTTCAAGATGGATTATATTGGAGCCGAAGTTAGTCATAAAATCAGGGTAAGTTCCTATTAGAATACCACTTGACCTAGCAATGTTTATATTTTACGATCAATTATTACTTACGGGTATTTTACTAATAGTAAAGTGAGAGTCAGTAGGTTGCTTGGTGTCTATAATTGCGCTATTAAAAAAGCAAAAATATCATTTTACAAAACCATAACCTCATAAGAAATGTTTATTTTTCAGTCAGCTATCAAAGCAAAACTAATGGAATTAGGTGCTTACGTAGGTGAGTAAATTGTTTTTTTTGGTGTGAAATATGCATATATGTTCATTTTGCGGTATGAAAATTTCGATTTTGTTTGTAAAGATGAAGAGTTGCCAGATTATATTATGGTAATGGTTGCCAACAAACGAGCCAAAGCTCAAATGGATGGAGATCTTCAGCTTTTCCTAGGAAGTAATACTTCACATTTCACTTCATGGTTATACCAAGTACTGCAAAAATTGCAAGAAGTAACTGTAGGAAATGCAGGTGAGTTGTTAAGTATTCATTGTGGAAGTTTGATGCAATTCCTATTATTGTGGACAGGTAAAAATTTAACATGTTTATACTTGTTACAGACAAGAAGTCTTCTAAAATTAGTTCTGTGATGAAAGACTCTAGTTCAGTCAAAAGAAAGTCAACAGTAGTTGATAGCGACAGCCACAGAAAAGAGAAACGCCGAAAATCATCTGACACCAAAAAATCAAAGAAAGTTGATCTAGAAATTGTAAAGGACTCGAAGAAGGTCTCGGATTCTGGATTGAAATCGTCAGCAAAATTATCCGACACAGACAAGTATTCACGTTCACATAATCCAAAAGAGTTTGTGAGTTCATCAAGATCAGAGAATAGTGAAAGTGTAGTGTCGAGTAGTGCTGATAGCAAGACGAATAAAAAACTGTTGCTAAAAGAAAAAGTTGAGAAGGGTGTAGACTCTGATAACGCAAAAAGAAATTCCCTAAAGTCATCTTTGTCCAATGGTAGTAGTAAATCAGAGGAAAAAAATTATCTCTCACGTTTACGTGCTGAAGCTTTGCGATCTCGTGATGAGAGAATAGGAAAATTGCCAGGAGCATCGGATGAACTTAGGTCATTAGTGTCATCTAAAGAAGAAAATGAAGTGAAGGGAGGGGGTAAAACAGGTTATGCTCAACCCCTCCAAAGAAACAAAATTGTTCTTATGCACAGTGATGATGAAGATGATGATGAAGACTTCATTAATATTAAAGCTGATGCAGAAGCTGGTTAGTAATTAATAATTCTTGGTTTTACTTTCTGCAGTGTTTCAAAATCAATAGAATTGCTTAACTAATTGTGGAAGTTCCGAAGGCAACAGTTTGTTTTAAAACACTTTTATATTGAACTTAACATGATGTCAATGAGTCTAATGAACTAAATTGTTAATATCAATATAATTACAGTACACACATGGGTTAGAGTTCTGCTGATAATACTTTTAATTTAAAGCTTGTTTATTTTTTATTTATGAATCAACCACTTATAAATGTAAGTATGTACTTGGATATTTTAACTCTACTAGCTGTTAGTTTCGGTGGGACAATGCTGCAAAATCCTTATACAAGTGTTGATACATCACACTCTGAAAAAGTATATACACGAAAAGTAAATTTAACCTTATGAAATGTCACGGGAAAATGCTTTAATTGGTACATTTGCAATTATTGTAATGATTAACTGGTATAAAAAGTATCTTCAGTTGATAAAGATTTTCATGTGTTTGTAACAGGAACTGTCATTGAATATTTATACGTTCCAAGGAAAAATCTTGGATCGTATTGTTTATTTACATTTACATTTGTCTGAATCAAATGTAAACATGTAATCAGTATTGCATGTAATGATCTGTGAATATTTTATATAAGGGAATGTTATAATTTTAGAGCTCCATGTTGCTATCGTATTAGCATTTAAAGCTGTCAGTTGAGAATGGAGATAATGTAATTGTCATGTTTTTTTACTCATTCTTGCCCTTTTTCTGAAATAATTACCTTTTTCCATCTTTTATGAGACATATTTGAATGTACATTGCTTCTGCCTTTCCAGAACAACTGCTGAAAGAAGAGCTGCCTCGTGAAGTGTTGGAAACCAATGTGAGCACTCCAGAGACAACACCAGCACTAACAGAACCTGTGGAAAGTCAAAAGAAGATTCCTGAAGGGCCGGCGCCCCCACTCCCAGAGCTGCCAACAATCCCACTGAAAGAGAATCTGGTTCCGAAGAGGCCATTTGCAAAAGAAATGCCTGTTGCACCTAACCAGCAACCTGACCCTGTCTCCACATCTCTGCCTCCTGTTCCTTTAAATCTGCCTGCTGTTCCTGTTTCCAGCAGGTTGGTGCGCAAGAGAATTGCGGATTCAGAAGCAGAAGCGGCTGATTCAAAAATTACTAAGGTAAATAAAATTGTTATGGGGTAGTGCTATTGTGTGTCCCAGGATGGAGATTAAGCAGGGTGACCAATTTTGGGAAAAATTAAAAGGGAAAAAATCTGGAAATCACAGAAGTCAAAGTGCAGAAAGTATACAATGAAACAGCTAAGGAAAGAATGGTGTGTTTTGATATGATACAAAATGTTTGTAGCAAGTAGTAGACAAAGAAAGAGGAACTTTATTTTGAAATACTATGTGTAGTTATCCAATTAATATTATACTATAGAATATGCTGATTCCAACCATGATGGATCACTGATAATTATTACAAAATTCTCCTCACTGATACAGGTTGTGTTCAGGGATAAAACTATTATGGTGCTTTCTTTTTAATTTAATTCCTTTTTTAATGGCAATGAGACATTTTTAAGTCTTATTGAGTGCCAAAGACTTCTGAGAGAAGTTTGAAAACCACAATGTATGTTAGTGGAAACAGAAAAAACGTATTCAGGCTCCTTAATAAAACCTAATGATTGATTGGTGTTGCGTCACTATTACACTTTGGTTACTGGATTGTGCTGAGACTGTTTTGAGCCCTGGTAGATATTGCTTCTTGTTGACTTTCTAGCTTAATGCACTTGGTAATTGTTGGGAATTTGAGATCCATCCTACAAGGAATATGCCCTTATACTTTCACTGATAAGCTGAAAAACAACATTATTGACTAATCAAAATTGTTATATTCAGTTCAGTGTGAGTACTAGCACTTACAAACATTTTGCAGATGTCATCAAATGAATATGTATAGCAATGTATAGGCAGCATCAGATAATGCAAAGATTAGTATGTTAGATAACAAGGTTCCTAGTTTCAAGCCCAGTCCAAGTTATAGGATGCTTAAGAGCAGGAATTTCTAAATTGATGTGTCTTTCTTTGGAAGGGACAATTTAACAATCTATTATTTTACACAACTAACAAGAATCAAATATGGGAAAGACACATTACTACAGAAGTAAGGAATACAAAATATATTCAGTAACGAATATTAAAATAAACTCAGGAATGAGATTCAATAAAAAACAAAAACTAAAAGTTGGGTTGTTAACAATAGGAAGAAAAACTAGTGGTTGAGAACCTTAAAGCTTCTAACTTATGGAATGCAATTTCATAACCAAATCTTCACCACCTTCAGTATTTACAGATCAGAGCAGACCTACCATTTTTCTAGAAACCTTAAACCTTAACTGAGTAATTTGGAGACGTTTTAATCAAGGATCCATGTAGAAGGATATGACCATACTACCGGAAATGGTTATTATTTCGAGATTCACCTGGTTGAGTGACATAGAAATCAATGAATCAGACCTCTCAACACTAAAAATACTTATTAATGGGTTGCGACAATATAGATTTGTGTATGTTGAAAAGATGTGGAAATATCCAGACAACATATTACCAAACTAATGTAGAAATCATTTAAAAAATTGACTCGTCCATAAGAATAGTTGGAGACAAAAATTACCAAAAGTACAAAAAAAGTTACAGACTCCAGCCATCAAACTACCATTAACAACACATTGTGGAAAAAATGCCCTTGCACAATTCACAGACATTTTTCTGGAGAGTTTCTTATAATAATCTATGCCTGTTCAAAAACTCAAGAAATCTTATGAATATGATCTGATCAAAGAAAATATAGGAGGCCATGAAAGGTTCCAAAAGCACTTGCATCACTGATAAAACTACATTTCATCATCATCATATACTGCAGGTTGCTTGGCCTGTCGTCTGTACCAGTTTCCCAACAGACCAGGCGGCTTACACTTTCAGGTGTTCCTGATCTAGCCACTTCTTTTGTGGTCTTCCCACATCCCTTTGCCCTATTGGTTTGTACTTGAACAGTGCTTTTTGCAATCTTCCCCTTTTCATTCTGTTAATGTGAGATAGCCATTTTCTCTGTCCGTTCTTTATTTCTTCTGGCCTGTCTTTTGCCTGTTTCTGATGTCTTTACTCCTTTTTCCCCAGCCTTTAGTGTCACTCCTGCGAGATGACGTAGGAATCTCATTTGCATTGCCCTTCTAGTCTTTGTTGCTCACTGCTTTTCATTGCACAGACTTCCGAACACTTCCTGAGGATTGGTTTAGATATATTGTGGATTCTTAGTTGGGTCTCTTTAGTCATATCTCTTCTGAAGTGTCTTTTGATTAATCTGTTCATCCTGTATTATTTCTGAAGTTTGTCTTCCGATCTCTGTCCAATGAGGTTGCCCAAATAATTAAAAATGCTCATTGTGTTATTTGTCCTTTTATGACAATTTTACTCTTGTCATTTCCTCTCCTTGATATCGCATTGCTTTTGTCTTGCTTGTGGAAATTTCCATATTATGTTTCTGTGCTATTTTATACACTGCAATTTGCAAGTCATCTTCTGATTCCATTATTATAACTGTATCACCTATATACTGGATTGTTTGGATCTTCTCTCTTTTACTGATATTTATTCCCTATCTTATAGTTTGTTTTCATTCCTTGATTGTATGGTTGGCATATATGTTGCTACATTTCCTCAAAACAATAATAGATGCTTGCGAGTGAGAGTGTATCAAGAAGAAAATGTCCTCCCGCAATCCTCGCTGATTGAGCATAAGATGAAGAGAATTCTCATCCAGAGTAATAGTGTGGTAATAATGTACATGAGAAAATGTATGAAAATAATGATAGTTGAGCACATACACTGCAAAAATGTCTGTAGAAAAATCTGAAATTTGTTCCCACAACTTGGCATGTATTGTTCCAAAAAGATCAGGTTTTTCAAACTTTCTGGCAAGAGTAGAAAGGTGGTGAAGTTTGACAAAGGGATCACCAAACAGTTTTATCTACTTTGGCTTGGAAAAGATTTTCGACATAGAACCTAACTGATGGTTGCTGAAGAAATTAGAACATTTTGGAATTAGGGAAAAATTAGTAGATAGGATTGAAACCTTCCTCTATGCTCTTTCCTCTTCAAGAGCAGAGTCAGCATGCATAAATTCTCATGAAACATGAGTGGAGCTCAGTGAAGAAGTCTCCACGTCCAAAAAAGAAAGTTACTTTTATTTCGTCTGAAAGGAGCAATTCTCTATAGTAACATTCAACTGTTTGCTAGATGCGGTGGTCAATCTCTATGTCATCACAATTTCTAAATAACTATCACTTTTACTCCACTACTAATGTCCTTAGACCTGTCATACTTCACCAAGGCGTCTTCCTTCAGAGCAATTTTCTGACTGCCAAATGTTGCTGGCCTAGTCTGATAAAAGGCCCAGTTAGATTGCTGTTTGATTCCCACAGTCAAGGATTTAGGAAACATTGCAGTTGCACTGCAGACCGTTGTCAGTTGACATCTTTCTAAGTGATCTCAATACTTGATACAATATAACAATTCAAGAAAATGTTAATTATAGATCATTACTTTTTTGTGTAATACAAAGTTTCCAAATTGCACTAATAACCTCTGTAATACTTAAGTTGAAGAATGACTGCCTTCTAGTATTCTATGTTGGTAGTTCTTGTGATAAAAACCTGAGGGAGTGTTCGTGGCAGTGCATTCCTCTAAACAGCCATCAAATGCTTTTCAAGAAAATTCTTTATAATTCACTGCACAATATGTCTGCCGTGACTAACATTGTTGTTGAGTTTGGAATCTTTAATATTTGATATCGAACTCTTGTCTTGTCTTGAAGGTGTGTCAAAGTTAGAATATCTAGGAACCGCCCAATTACCTCCCCCAATTCATGGTTTTGTTTTCTTGCACTGTGGCAGATTCTCAAAGGAAAACTGGTATTTCAATGCAAGTAGTAGTTTGACCTATGATTTTGACCTTTCAGTATGTACATTACAGTTTTATAAAATTTGCCTTCCGTAGACCTGTGGACCATCTTGTCATGGCGGTATTTGTCATGGGGTCATGCGAGAGACATAAACAACTCGTAATCTGTTGGATGGGAGCAAAAATAGAACTCCGTCAAACTTCTTTTTTCCAGAACGAAGAAAAACCTGTAGCAACTGCCGTAAGCGTCAAAGATAGATTGGGAGTTAAAAAGACAGGTACAGTAGCTTCAGTGAAAGAAGCAAAGATTGTTACCAGACTTGGAGCAAGACCTGTTACATCCGGCCAAAGAGCATGCATTGCTCAGCTGGAATCAGACAGTGTTTCCAAAACGGTCAGTGTTTTGTGTCACAATTCTGTATTCAGGGTGGAGGGAAAAATGTTTTTTTCTGATTGACCTTCATTAAAAGTAGAATATAAAAAGAAAAAAGAAAAGAATAGTTATTGAAAGTTGTAACAAATAGCCCATGTAGCTTCCAGCTATTTGATGTGTGTTTAGATCACTAATTTGTGACATCAGATGTTCAGTAATCTTTTCTTTTTTCTTTGCTTCATGATAATTGAATATGAATGGCTTATTTGATTTGTTTATTTATTTTAGCATACTTCAAACATTTTGGGCTTAGCTGTAGCTGTCTGTAGTAGTGTTATTTGGGTGAACCAGGGAAACAGACAATTTTTTGGAGAGGTTATTGAAATGAGTTGAGATTGAAGTATGTTGTCTGTTTCCTTGACACTTTTCTTCTACAAAGTACTTTTTAATTTATTAATATTGTGTATTCCCCATATGATTTTACAAACTTTTAAAGTTTTTTGATTTCATTTTGTAAAAGCTTTTATGGTGGATCTGATCTGGAATCTTGAAGCAACTAGAGAAATCTGGAGGATACAGACGTGCTCTCTCCAAAAAATGCCAGAAAGGGAGTTGTGCCTCAGTAGGAGAATAGCATTTCTAGATTGACTGACATACTGCTTATGTAGATGAGACCACTTTTGTGTAAATAGATGTAGATTTGGTGGAGCGAAATGTACCTATTATTTTATTGTCCTTTTACATGGACTTTACTAAAATTTTATTTTTAAGGTTATTCGGGAAACATATTAGCTGTAGTTGTTAAAGGGTTATGGAATAATGGTAGATATGAAGGTTGTAGATTATTAGGTTGTGTTAAAGCTTACTGACTTTTTCTATTCTAATTTGAGGAACTAGGACAGGGAAAAATATTCAGACATAATGCATGGAAGTAGTAGAGAAGTCAGTTGCCTTAGAACGTGTGAGAACTGTCAAACATGTTTCAGATCAAAGGATGATGGGAATAGTTGACCTGCGTCTGTGAGATATATTTTTTTTATTTTCTTATTGCATTGCAGGTGAACAAGAGGGCACCTCCAAGCAGCCTTTTATCTCGTGTGGTTATGCTGCACGATCGATCTCGACCAGAAAACCAAGAGCGCTTATCAGAAGGAAGAAGCGTGAAGCGAAGCGGGGACAAGGAACCTGAGGAGGAAGAGGAGGAGTACGATCCGAGTAACCCTGCGGTCGGTACCGTGGCTTCAATTGTCCGTGTGAAACCAAGGCCCAAGCTGCCAGCGTCCCTGCAGGCCAACAAAAATCTCATTCTCAAGGCTGTGGCAGAAGCACAGAAGTCGGTGACTAGCGCACCAATTCGATCAGAGCCCACCAGACCAGTGGGGCTCTGGAAGGTAATATTTTTTTCTTTCCTTTTACTTTCTCACCTACTGCTTGTGCGGAATAGAAAAAGTAGGCATTAATGGTGATTTTTCATCAGAAAATTCTTATTGCTGGGCCCTGGTAACAAAAAAGTGGATAAATCTTGTTTCTATATGTATTCAATTATTTCTTCTGAACACATTTAGTCGGAATCTATGTTTTGTAGGTCATTGATACTGAAAAATTGATTTGAAGGTAAAATATTTGTTTGAACTCTCAAAAACCGCTCCAAATTTTTTCTTTGTCGCCATATGTTGAATGGAGTGACCTGTGGTTTGGCAGTTTGATTCTTGCCCTCCACAAATAGGGTTGGAAATCGGTGAATGGGATTCAAGTGGAATTTGTGGTGGGCAAGAATCCAGAAGCTTCTTCTGTTTTCCCGGATTCTCTCTCTCTCATTCTCTCTCTCTCTCATTCTCTCTCTCTCTCTCATTCTCTCTCTCTCTCATTCT